TTTGGAAGTCTTAGCAATAGCAAAAAGGGTGCTTTTAAATTATGGTGCTGGCAAAGAATATGGCATGGAATATGGCTTCACCAAGAACAAATCTGTCCTAGAAGATGGACAGTGAGAATTTTCTGTAAAAGCAAGGATTATTACAATGTGTCTCACAAACTCTGCGCATGTTATGGGAGAAGCCAGTGCCTGGAAAAGAACATCATGTTTGGTAAAGCAGAGAGTCAGTGAGAAGAGACAACAAGATGGACTGTGAGCTTGGTGGACCATCACTAAGATGGACCAGGCAGCGACTGTGAGGATAGAGCAGGAATAGGCAATGACGTGCTCTGTTAAACACAGGGTCTGGAGGGCTTGGAATTGGCTCATTGGCACCTAACAACAAGCAACCACACAACTTAAGTAAATGAAAAAACCTTAAGATCTTAAAAAAAAAAAAGAAGGAACGTTAAAAATCTTACAAAAAACCCATTTTAGTCTTAAAATTCTGTGGCAATTCTGAGACCAGAAGAAGCTGAAGGGCTGCTGCTGTGGCCTAAGATCCCAGCTCTGCAGGGCTGATGAGCCCTGCCATGCACACGTGCTGCCCAGGGTCCTTAATCTCAGCAGCTTTGAGTCTCTGGTACAAAACAGGAACGGTCCTAACGAGAAGCATAAATCTAGGATGCTCATAAAAGGAAATCCAAACCAAACCCCAGCACCATTGTATTTTTCCTGGCCAAAGATTCTGAGTTAATTTATTTCAGTGCAGTGTTAAAGATGAGAAGCAGGAGTGGCATCTACTTCCTAAACAACATGCCTCCGGAAACTCTACAAACTTAGAGAAATGACGATAGTTACAGAAAGGCTTCAGGCCTTTTGTTCATAGGGTCGCTATGAGTTGTGTTCGACTTGATGGCAATCAACAACAACAAAAACAGTGTTAAAGGAATCAGTTAGATAAATGGCACAACAGCGTAAGATACCTGTGGTGTTCTAAGAAAGGTGAAATCTGGCTGTGGCATTCCGACAAGCGAGCAAATTCGAGACAGCTCTGTGACAGGTGTGGTTTGACTGGAGGTTGGCCAAGGCAGATTGTCCATAGACTGGACAACGTGGAATTCATCAGCACTGTGAGATTTGTTCATATGAGATGCTGTAAGATCAAAAAGAACACATTCACATTAATAACATAACATCTCAAACTATTTTTAAAGTAGTTTTTAAGAGGAAAAGCAGAAAACTGCCAAAACACAGTATAATTACTTTCTCATGAAGTAAATACAGGATCTTTTTTCACTGCTGCCTAAAATTACAGAGATATCAGCTAAGAATTTCAGATAATTGGTGTCCTCCCCATCAGTGGGCGGGAGCACTAGGTGCAGGACCCTGGAAACGAATTCCACATCGCCTGAGTCCGCCAGACAGGCGTTCCTGAGCCTCATCTTTGTTTTGTGGACAGAGACTCCAGACCGTGCACAGCTTTGAGCCGCTGCTCCTTGGCATGGCCTCAGCCTGCTGGAATATGGCTACTTTGGACCTGGATCATCTGGGGGGAAAAAAAAAAAACAGAAGAAGATTTTGTTGACCTTCCAGGGTACTTGACATTAATGTGGAGGAGGGCCAGAAATATACTGGAAAATGGTACAAGACTATTTTAAAGAACAAAGTCTTGCACAGATTTTAGCACAGAATCTGTAAGACTGATCTCCCATTCAAAATCTGAAATAAAAGAAACTTATATTCAGTCACCAAAGAGAAATCACATCTTCACGTCTTCAGAAAAGGAAGACTGTTGTTTGCAGTTTGCTGTGTCATCAGAAGAAGATGTAATAAGAGCAGTCCAGACTGATAAAGTTTTTCAGGAAGTCCTAGCAACTGATATTGTTTCTGAAAATATATCTGACTTGAAAAAGGTGTCAAATAAAAAACTAAACATCCATCACAACAAAGCTGATGAAGAATTTTACTTCTCTGTTCGCTCTTTTTCTGTTGATTTGGAGATAACTACATCTTCATAGAAAAATGTTTTATCTGTTACCCAAAAAGGAGAGACTTACACTTTAGAAAATTCAGTAAATATGCAATCTCCTAATACAGAGATTTCTTATAAAATAAAGAAAAGGCTAAACTTCGAAGATAAAGTCATTTTGAAGAAAGTAGGAAAAGAAGATAATATGTCAGTACAGCCATCAGGGAGGACACCAGGAGGAACATTTCAGAAAATAATTCAAAATTCAGAAATGGAATTTCAACCGCAAATTGAGTTTTTCAACGTTGTTTATAGAGACTACAAAGACAAAACGAGTCTAGGCATGTAATAATTGTTCCGCTTTATTCTTCTCCAAATGGTGTGAAGTTGCTAGAGGATGAATTTATAATTGATGAGTCAAAGATCAATTTTTGCTAATCAATCTTGGATTAAGATACCAAAAAAGGTGAAACCTCCAAAACAAGGCACATTATCTCCTGTTAGCCTGTAAGGAAGGGAATCAATAGAAAAACATCACAATGCAACTTCTGAGACATTGACAAGTGACAAATATTCCAATGAAAATCATCCAGTAGAGAAATCTCAAGGCATCCAAAGAGGGGAAACTGGGTAGATCTTGAGCCTCAACAGATAAAACAGAGAATAGTTGTAAGCCTGTAAATTATATCATATATCCTGAGAATACAGAAAAGAAATCCGAGATTAAAAGGACTGTAAAACAAAAATGAAAAAGAAAAATTAGAAGCAATGAAGTTAAAGAAGAACTTGATAGGGAACAACTTAGAGATAAAAATAGAAATATACCACCTACTGCCGATGTGAAGTTGGAGAGAGTTGGACAAAAATGTAGAGCTGTGTGAAGAAATTAGGAATCCTATTTAAAAAAATAGATGACACATGTGGGAAAACTGGAAAAAAGAACTCAGAAAAAAATCTAAGCAAAGAATAAAAAAGAGGCCTTCCTCAAATGGTCCCAAGAAGAAAGTGATACCTGAAGTAGTGCCTGTGATTTTAACAAAAAGTCAAAGAACTTCCAGGCAGCCATCTAAATGGTGGGAGGTATCATCAGTATCCTGTTAATAGCAATTCTTTAATAAATAATGAATTTTCAGTCAATCAAAACAGTAGAAGAAAACCTGCTCAAAACCCAAATTGCCTAAGAATGTTGGGAAGAAAACTACTCCAGTTAACAGGAAGAAGACAACTACTCAACACAACTCAGGAGCACATAAGATTTTAAGTGCTGAAAATTCTGAAGATACTATTGACCATGATGACAGTTCTAGTTCCCAAAATGAATCATTAAAATGGGAGAAGGCAGACTTGATTGAGAAGAAAAATCTTGATCATCCTGGAACTGGAAACTCAAAAGATCAAGACAATTCACAGGATCAACACAATATAGATAGTATTTTACAACTGTACAAAGTTTTTATATCAACTCTCAGACCAGTGGCTATACATGGAAGAAAGGAAAAATTTTTATACCATCACAGACTTGATTTTGAATGAAAGTGGACCTGGTCTCCAGACATGTAAGACATCCAGAAAGAATGATTCTGATATGAGAATAAAGGAAACTCAGAAAAGTTCAGATGGTTCAAGAGTGAAAAAATCTGAAGTGTTAACAGAGAAAAAAAATACATAGCAAATTAGCATTGCCCTCTGACACACCCAATGTTCGCAGGACCGAGGGAAACGTTTGAATCCTTTGGAATACTGGTGACGGGAGCGAACAGATTCTCAAGCAAGACCATCAGGAAGATTTGTGATTGGTGGGATTCTACCCCCAGACATGACACTTAAAAAAGAGAAGGCCGCAAATAAAGAAACAGGAAAAGTCAATAAAATAACCAATAGAAAAAGATTTTGTCTTGATGAAAATGAAGGAATAAATAGATTATTGGCAAATGTGAACATACCTTTAGGAGATCCTTCTCAGCCAACAATGGTGAAGGACCCAGGAACACGAGAGATCATTTTCATGGAGATCATAAGGCCACAAGGATACGTGTCAATTTTTTTTCGAGTGCAAAGGAGTTAGAAGTGTATAAAACACTAGATATACTTTTTTCTACTGGAAAATTGATACTAGCACCATATCAAGAAAAGGAAAAGCAGCATATTGGTCTAAATACATTGATTTTCTTTGTGAACTTTGGTAAAACTTTTATGTACCTTACATGAAACATCTTATCTGATCACTACTAGAGATTCATTTTATGTTCCTTTAGGTAATTATTATAACATCAGAAACCTGCTTAATGAAGAAAGTATTCATCTATTCACACAGATAAAAAATTAAGTTTAAATGTGTGTATATACATATATATAAAAGACCATTTGTATGGTTCAAATGTTTATAATACTGTAATTTTCTGAATTAAAAATTGTATTCCATTTAAAAAAGTTTCAGATAATTATAAATTTTTTAAGATTTTAAAATAAAATATATAACTGTCAAAAATGAACACCCTGAGTAATCTATGTAGTTATCACAGAATCTGACCAAGGATTTGGCTTTCTTGAATTGACTTATAGTTAATTCTCATGTTTTGAGACTTTAGATTCCAGCTTACTTAACATTCCAAGACATTGTCAATTTTTTACGCTGCTTCAAAAAGATGCTTCTGAAAAGTTTCCTGAAATTAAGAAGGTTTAAAAAATTCTGATTTTGCACATGCTTTATGGTTAAAAATCCACTAATGGCATTAAGAATGAGCCTCTGAAAAATGAACCCAAATCTTGTACATAACTGATTTTAAAAGAAGTTGCCTGCCCAGAATCACAGAGTCAGTAACTTCTGTGATGTGGGTTGGACTCAGGGCTCTTGACTGTAAGATCAGTAAGTTTTCTTATTCTGAATTACATACATAAAAATTAACTTGTCTTTTTATTCCATGAATAAGTCTACTACTAAAACAAAGAATTACTTTCCAGTCATTGTCATTTTAAATTATTTATCCAAATATTCACTGACAGAATGCTGGTGGCTTAGTCCATCACGAATTGGGCTGCTAACTGAAAGGATTAAAATCGACCAGCAGGTCCAGAGGAGAAAAATGGCTAATCTCCTGTGTACTTTACAGCTTCAGAAACCCACCAGAGGGTCAGCGATGACACAGTTCTGACTCACAGGCAAAGAAGACTGAAAATATTGATGAGGGTACAGATTAGGCTAGTACTGTGGTCAGGTGCTGTCCAGTCAGATCTGCTGCACAGACACAATATTGCCTGATGCCAATTTTGTTCTGGATTTTTATCTCAGATCTAATTTTTTAGTTCTCTGAGCAGTTTTTATCCTCCATGACTTTCATATTAGTTATTCTTCCTGGGAAGGCTTGATCAGATAATTAAATAGATAAAAATGATAAGGAGCTGAGCTGTCATTCCCAAAAGCGTGTGGTTCAAATCTACCAACTGCTCCATGTGGCAGTCTCCTCAGGCACAATTTACTGCCTCAAAAAAAAAAAAACAACAAAAAAAAAACCCCACAAAAACCTGCTGGAGATTTTGACTCGAGAGAATGTAACAACAACAACAACAGGAAGACACGAGGCCCCCAGGACTAATTATTTCTTTTTCAATGTTTCCTCCCCATTAATTTTAGCTTCTAGGGATCTGTGGGGCATAGTCTGTAATGAGTTGCACTGTAAATCCATGAATTCACCACCAACTCCATGGGACAAAGACAGACGGTCTCCTTTTGTTGTGATTTATAGCCTTGGAAACAAGATGTATGAGTTGGATCCTACTCTATTGTGGTGAATTTAATGTCAACTATTTTTAACGCCATATGGACATCAATTGGCCTAGTGGTAAGGAGTTTGCTTCCCACCTGTAGGCATGTGGTTCGAATCCATTAGCTGCTCCATGGGAGAAAGATGGGCAATTACCCCTTGTGCAATTTACTGGCTCTGAAAGCCCACTAGAGGGTCAACTATGAGTTGGTTCTGACTTAATAGTACATAACAAAAAGGTTATGTGCCAAGAGTCTTGGTGGCATAATGATTAAGTAGCTAGGCGGCAAACTGAAAGGCTGGAAATTTGAATTCACCCATCAGCTCCATAAGCAAAGAGATCTGGCAATCTGCTCCCATCAAGATTACAGCCTAAAAGCCGATGGAGCAATTCTACACCGTGACACAGGGCTGAAGATGGATTTGACAGCATGTATCAGCTCCAACTATGCACCAGACAAGGCCGCTTGATGTATATGCTATTTAATGACTAAAACAATGTCTTTCATTTTATTCTTTTCAATTTTTTTAAACAGGAAAAGTTTCTGAAAAGTAAACATACTGAAGTTGAAATTTTTTAAAACTGGTTTCCATTTAATTACTTATATATACATTGTCTCAAAACAACAAATGTCATGGTACAATGCAATTATTTACCTTATTTTAGTGAACTTCTGCTATACTCTTCCTTTCCCTTCATCCCATTCATTCATTTGGTAGTTTCTACTCCTCTCCTTCCCTTCCCAAGGTCTACTCCCCAAGGTCAACCCTCCACAGTTGTTTCTATACTGGGTAAACTTCCTGGCCCTTCCCATCCCCCTCACTCAATTCAATCCATGACGTGTGCTCCGTTCTGTATTGTTAACTGAAATACAAATGTTTGCTCATCCATTCACTCCAAATTGACAGTCTATTTCCCTATTCCAACACAGTATTCAGTACCTATCCATTCTTTTCCTGCTGTCCAAGCCATACCCTATAACCATCTTATTTTTATAACAGTATTTGTCTTTTTGTGACTAAGTTAATTTCACTCAGCCTCGTGTCCACGAGGCTCATCCATGCTGTGTAAAATGTCATGAGTTCGTCCTTGTTTTTCAGTGTAACATAATACATAATAATGTGTGAATGTATCGCTTTCCCTGGCATTCATTTGTGGGTGGACATCTGGGCTGCTTGTACCTCTCTGCTACTCTGGGTAATGGGATAAACACAGGTGTACAAAAATCTGTTTGTGTTGTGGTTTTGAGTCCTTTCGGTACATTCTTGGTAGTAGAATAGCTGAATCAAATGGCTTTTCCAACTTTCTGAGGAAAAGTCAGACTACATTTCACAGTGGTTGTACCATTCCAATCTCTCCACATCCTTGCCAACATTTATCGTTTGCTGCTTTGTTGAAATGCGCTACTGCTGCTGGGGCAGGGCGTTATCTCATGTTTTAGAGATTTACATCTATCTCTCTAATAGCTAGTGATCTTGAGTATTTCTTCATGTGTGTTTGCTATCTGAATATACTCTTTGGGGAAAACTATTTTCATATCTTTAGCCCATTTTGTAATTGGATTGTTTGATTTTTTCACAGTTAAGTTCTAAAATATTCTATACATTTTATATAGGAGTCCCTAGTCACATAGGTCAATGCCAATTTTTTTCCTCTATCTGTGGGTTTTATTGTTACCCTACCAGAGAAGGTTTTGAATTTGAATTTTAGAAGGTCCCATTCATCCTATAATATCCTCTCCTGGCTGTGGATTTTTGGTTATGTTTGAGAGCCTCTTTATGCCATAGATTAGGGCTTCTAAATGTGTTGCTAATTTTTCTCTGATGACCTTTGTAGTTTTTTGTTTTACCTCTAGGTCCCTGATCATATGATGTGGTATGTAAATCTGGTTTCTGTTTTCTGCAGACAGATGTCAAATTTTGCCAACATCATTTGTTAAACAAACTGTTGTTTTCCTAATGGATATTGTCTCCTTGTTAAAGATCCGTTGATCACTGATAAATGGGTTGATTTCTGGATCCTCAATTCTATTCCATTGATCTATGTGTCTCACTGCACTAGTATGACATTGCTTTGTATGGCTGGAGTGATACCTTCTACTTTGTTTATTGCAGTAGAATTTTGCTTATTCAATATAGAGTCTCTGCTTTCCAAATAGTGTTGGATATTGTCTTTCTATCTCCTTAAAGAATGGCACTGATATGTGTGTAGCTATTTTCAAACCACAAAGGAAAAACATTTTTCATCACCTAATGAAGTTGAACACTGTGACACTGATGTGTCAAATGCATTAATGGTTTGTTACCCAATGTGGACAGAGAGTGGGGTGGAGCTCCCTGATGAAAACAAGCTTGGAAGGAGGAGTGGCATCCACTTCCGTAACAGCCTGCCTCCAGAAACCCTATGAACCTGGAGAGAGGATGAGAGACACCCAAGCGTTGAGGACTCTCCTTCATAGGGTCGCTGTGAGTCGCCTGAGACTCGACGGCACTTAACAACAACAACATAACAAGAGTTCAGATACCAGATTTGCTATTTTAAAGAAATGAGTAACTGTAATAATATAATACAAGTAATCCTACGAAAGTACTTAGAGGGGAGCTCTGGTGGCCTAGTGGTAAGGAGCTGCTCTGCCAATCCAAAGGCATGTGGGCCAAACCACCAGCTGCTCTGCAGGTAAAAGATGGGCAGTCCTCTCTCATGTGATTTATAGTCTCCCAAAACCAGCTGGACAGTCAGCTATGAGTTGGTTCTGACTCAATGGCACATGTCAATAACACCAACAAATGACTCTATCAGATATACAATTCCCTTATTGTATAGCTAGCTGATAAACGTTTAAAACTAATACTTTAAAATGGACTTTATTTTTTTAAAACATATTTGATTAAAAAAGTCCCACATGAATGAATTATGGTGATGAAGGCAGAAGTTCAAGCTGATTTGAAGGAAATAGCAAAAAATAAGGCCCCAGGAATAGATGGTATACCAATTGACATATTTCAGCTAACAGACACTGTCCTGGACCTGCTCACCAAGTTGTGCCAAGAAATCTGGAGAACAACCACTTGGCCAACTGACTGGAAGAGATCTATATTTGTTCCCATCCCAAAGAAGGGTGACCGAACAGAGTGTGGAAACTACAGAACAATCTCATTGATTTCACATGCAAGCAAGATTCTACTGAAGATTATCCAAAAACGACTGGAACAGTCCATCAGCAGAGAACTGCCAGAAGTCTAGGCCGGGTTTAGAAGGGGTCATGGTAGTAGGGATATTGTAGCTGATATCAGATGGATCTTAGCTGAAAGCAGAGAGTACCCGAAGAATGTCTATCTGTGTTTCATTGATTATGCAAAGGCGTTTGTGTGAATCATAACAAACTGTGGCTGACTCTGAGAAGAATGGGAATCCCAGAACATTTAATTGTGCTAATGTGAAACCTATACTTGGACCAAGAGGCAGTCGTCAGAACAGAGCAGGGTAACATTGATACAGGTCATGGTCTTTGCAATCATTTGTTATGCATCAGAGAGTTGGACAATGACTAGGGAGGATAGAAGGAGAATTGACGCCTTTGAGTTGTGGTGCTGGAAAAGAGTATTGAATGTACCATGGACTGCCAAGAAAACCAACAGATTCATCCTAAAGAGGGTTAAACCAGGCTGCTCCTTGGAGGTAAGGATTCTGGGGCTTCGCCTGAAGTACCTTGGACATGTTGTAAGGAGAGACAGGTCTTTAGAGACATCATGCTGGGTAGAGTAGAGGGACAGCGCAGGAGGGGAAGACCCTCTGTGAGGTGGATTGATTCAGTGACTGGGGTAATCGGGATGGGTGTGTCAGAGGCAATGAGATTGGCACGAGATAGAGCACGGTTTAGGGCTGTTGTACATAGGGTCTCTATGAGTTGCAAACGACTCGATGGCACATAACAACAACACTGGTTATTAGGCAATAGTATCTACTTACCTAGTTTCTCATTTTGTTTAAGCTGTGAGGAAGGTCCGCATTCGTCTCTTCTATTAGAAGAAATAAGCATTTCATCATCAAATGGCTTTGTTTCTTTTTTATGGTCCACAGAGTCAGAGCCATCAATTTTTAGAATTTCTTTAAGCATTCGTGTTCCCTTCTTTTTTGAAAACAATTGGAATGGCGATAGTGGTAGAGGAAAGAAAACTGATATTAGTTTTATTTAGCTTATTGATACGTCTTTCAAAGAATTTAATTGTTAAAAAAACATTAAGATGCTAACAATATTCAAACAGAATAAAGAAAAATTCATGGTTCAGGGTGAATTAAAAAATAACAAGCAGCAGCAGCAAACAAAAATTCACATTTCCTGGCATGTAAAAAGTGCTTACTCTGTTTAACTTTTGACTCAACTATCTAACAGCAATGTTTGACAAGCTGGGAGCTATGATTTGAAGGGGAAAAAAAAGGAGGAAAAAGATGATGGCTAAAGTCCCCCCAGAGCAGCTGGGTTTCCCCTACATTGTCAACAACGATGCAGCACAGAAGCCCACGTGAGGGAGAGGGTCTAATTGTCAGACAGTGCATGTGTGCACATTAACAGCTACAAAATGACCAGCTCTCCTACAAGACACACACCATGGCAAATGACTGTGGCGACAAGTGCTCTTCACTGCGGGGCTCTCTGTGATGAGCAGGCGGTACTTCCTTTTCATGGGAGATATTCAGGGATGCTAAAAAGTTCTCCATTCCAAGAGCAGGCTAAAACAACAAACACTTTGTGCATGAAAATTAAAGCATAAGAGGGTTTTTGTTATTATTATTAATTTTAACGAAAATTTACAGAGACTTTGGATTTTCATTCATTCATTGTTGCACCTTTCTCCCGCCCGAATCCTCGCCTACCCCACCCCCACCCCCCGTTTGCTCTTCTCTTTGAAAAGTAAAAGAAAAATTCTTTCATTGTTATACAATCCCTCCCCTCAAGTCCACTCCACTATGCAGCCTTCATTCTGGAATCGTGTTATGACAACAATACCTAATTGTATATCCCTTTTAAACAGTTCTCTCCCTCATCTGTTTCAATGCAGTATACATTATTTATCCCCTCTTTCTCACTCTCCCCCAAGCCCGATGTCAGTCCCATTTTACAACAGTGGCACTATTCAGTATTTGTCCTTTTGTGACCGAGATATTTCACTCAGCATAATGTCAGGGTCACCCATTTTGAACAATATTTCATGAGTTCCTTGTTTTAAAACGTAAAAGTTTTATGTACAGAAATGGTCATTGAAATTTATCCAACTATTGTCCCTTAGAAAAAGTCTGGGGAAAAAAGTGGAATAAATGGACTTTTACCTTAACAGCAGGATTTGAATAACCAGTCACAATCTTTTGGGCTTCTGAGACTTCTGCACTTTCATTTCTCTTCAACAGCTTAATATTACATTTTGCAGGCCCTCCAAAAGTCTATAAAAAATTATGAAAGAGCTATTTTTTCTTTTTTTTATGGAGAGTAGATTTTATTTATTAATGACAAGAATTGCACAGTTCATCAATTTTAAACAACTGCTGCAGAAACAGGTACTTAAAATTTCTAAGCAAGGTGCTTTAACAAAAATTTTAAAGTTAGAAAGAGCTGGTAACATGAATCATAGCTCACATAGAATTTTAAATTAAAATTTACTCCATTTATCTCCCTAGATTTTGCAAACAATGTTTAACACTCTTTCTGTTTAAAAAAAAAAGTGATAGCAAGCAGAAGTAGAAAGCTATTTTTTATTCTCCTTCAAATGAAGTTTATGGTTAATACTTAGTGGTGTTCTAAATAAATTTGTACAATTTTTTAAAAGCACTATTTCCCCATAAGAATTTTCAATTTACCTACTATGTGACTATGCTGTTATGTGCCGTTGAGTCTCTTGTGACTCATAGCGCCCCTATGGACAATAGCTCTGTACTCTGTTCTATCCTGAGGCAATCTCATTGTCTCTGACATACGTATCCCCCTATTCCTCCAGTTACTATGTCAAGTCATCTCATCTGGGATTTTCCTCTCCTGTGCTGTCCCTCCACCCTTCCAAGGATGGTATCCTTTTCCAAGGACTGGTCCCTTCCGGCCATGTGCCCAAAGTATATGAGATGGAGCTTCAAAATCCTTTCCTTCAGGGAACAGCTTGGTTTCACCCTTTCTAGAACAAGTATGTTTGTTCTCTTGATAGTCCATGTTCAATAAACTCATCTAGCATGACAACTCAAAGGCATCAATTCTTCTGTAATCTCTAGTTACTGTCCAACTTTCTGATGTCTACCAAGTAATTGTGAAGACAATGGCCTGGATCAGGAGCAATTTATTCTCCAGACTGACACTGTTGCTCTTCAGTAGTTTGGTGAGGTCCCCGACCTCACCAGATTTTCCCAATGCAATTCACCTTTAATTTCCTGACTGCTCTACTGTGAAGCCAAGCAAGCTGAAGCTGTTAACAATCTATATTTCTTCATGATGCTGCCAGCTGGCCCAGTGGTAAGAATCTTTGTTTTCTTGATGTTGAGCTTCAATCAATACTGAAGGCTGTAGTCCTTGACCTTTGGCAGCAAATACTTGGTTTCAGCTAGCAAGGATGTGTCCTCTGCATAATGCAGGCTGTCGATGAGTCTTCCTCCAATCCTATGCCACATTCGGCCTCACAGTGTCCAGGCTCTGAAATGATCTGTTCCACATAGAGACTGAAAAGGCAGAAGACAGGATTGCATCCCTGACGTACACCTTTTCTGATTTTGAACCATGCAGTGTTTCCTTGCTCTGAAAACTGCTTCCTGATCAAAGTATATATTTCTGGATTAGCACAGTTAAAGTTCTGTAATTCCTATTCTTTTCATGGTTAGCTACAGTTGGTTCTGCTCCACACAGTATATGCCAAATGTCTGCTACAGCATCTCTGATAAATTACCTATCATCTCACTGTCTTACAAAACCAAAACACATTGCCATCGATTCAATTCTAACACAAAGTGACCCTCTTCTGGGTGTCCAAAGCTCAACATCTTATTGGGAGCACAGAATTGTCCCATGGTACAGTGGCTGGCAAACTCCTTACAAAAGATGCAATTTAAAAATCTTAGTATGAAATTATTAGATACCGAAAAACACACATATTGTAAGTGCACAGGTTGCCAGTAGATTTAAAGTTTGTTATTCTTTGATTTTAAAACGTATATATTCTTTTTCAAACAGTATAGTCTATATAAAGTGAAGTATATCCATGATCTTGGCTTCCCTCCCCATAATCTATTCAGAATTAACATCTGATCCCATTAAGTTTACTATGCTGTTCATATGTTCATGGTTCTTTTTGTTCATATATAAACAACATAGGCAGGGATCTGGAAAGATAGGCTAATGGTGGGCATAGTTCAATGACGATTAATTTTGTAAAACATAATGAACGAGAATGATTGTATGAAACAATGTGAATGAACAATAGTGTATACACAATGTATACAAACATTTTAAGCAAACCAACAGAAAACAAAAATGAAAAAACACATACGATACCCCCCTGCCGCCAAATCGCCCCATAATTTCCATTTGTGTGTCCCAAGTCATAGTTCTGTAGTTTCCACACTCAGTTGGGTCGCCCTTCTTTGGGATGGGAACAAATATAGACCTCTTCCAGTCAGTTAGCCAAGTGGCTGTTCTCCAGATTTCTTGGCACAACTTGGTGAGCACATCCACGGCAGCATCTGTTAGCTGAAATTCGTCAACTGGTATACCATCTATTCCGGGGGCCTTA